GGTGTGTGGATGGAGCTTTGGGTGGTGCAGCGCACGTCAGCCATGGTCCCTCTGTAGGTGCAGGCGTTCTGTGGCTAGCCACAGTTTCAGGAAAATCAGAAACCGGATGCCGCCAAGCAAATACGTTTAGCTCAACCGTGCCCGGGTTGGTTGTTCTCCTACACCAGCTAGCGAATCACCTCACACTCCCCCGAAAGTTTTAACGTAACTTTCTTGAGCCACGTACCGTTAGACAATTGGTTGATGAGTTTGTCTAGTGCAAACTTGATCTGCCTGCCGAGTTACGGTCAAGAGAGTTTGTGTTATCGGCCCACAAATACTGCGTGTTATAAAGAACGCCAGTACTAATGGTCGCCATACGTCGGCATGAAATTGAATTCAAAATAAGGAAGAAATATATATTCTTCTCATACCTACTTACAAAATACTCTCGCTTTTTACACGTCACTTACCAAAGTAATTAAGCCGACTGTCACGGTATGTTCCGTTTTATGTTTGATACTGTTCGGTTTTTCCTTTCCAATCCTCGCAGCTGTCGTGCTGTAGCCGGTAACATTAGCGCAGTGAATGCGGGAAGTTCTGACCCTCTAGTAATGACAGCATCGGTGTTGGTTGAATGTATTTGTCTAACCGGTAGGAGGAGGATCCCATAAGACATGTGGTACAGACCTCACGCCCGCACTTGCAGACGCACGAGCATGTTGGCACCGGTGATAATCGCTTGTGTAACAGGAGGAGCAATCTACACTGTCAACGGAAACAGCAGTACGGCTTCACATTCTACATGTCTGAAAACTGGAGTTTTGGATACGGAAGGTATTGACTTCCAAATAGGTGCAGACAAATCCATCTATCCGATCGTTGGGGTTAGGCCCTAATCCGTAAAATCAGTATTTCCACAAACCCCAAGACACAAGGTGGCTGAGTCACATAGTAACGTTTATCTGTAACCATCAACCTCCGCGCCGGAGCAGATATCATTACTTTCTCTGACATGTGATGCTGCCTGACTGAGTTTAGATGTGAGGAACTTTCACCTGTTAAATTCAAATCTACTTCTTTACTATATTTCGTGAGACAGGTAGAACTTTCACGTGTGAATCAACAACTGGAAGACAGCGTTGGGCTCCTGAAACCGCAGCCTACGAAGGCAACGAGGTTATCCGCACGAAAATACAAATTACAATGTGCCAAAAAATGCGGAATGAAATTCGCTGCTACCAATCATGACAAGTCAAAGAGCGATCCAGTGTATATGACCGCTGAGGAATATGTGCGCTGATTGTACCACCGATATCCCTTAAAGAACTCCGAGAGTGCCTGAGGGAATTCATCACGATTCATTGCTATCTAAGTATTTATGACTTAGTCACTGGACGACTTCCTTGAAGAGCGCATGTTGTGTTGGTACAACCGATGTCACCATCACCACCACCATCATCAGCAACAGCCGCAGCACCAACAGTAGCAACAGCAACAACAACAACAGAAGTACATCAACTAGCTGAACTGATGTTTCGTTACCGTACAATCCAAGTGACCTGCGGAACGATGAGTAATAAGAGCGAAAGAGGTTGTAACGTAAACTTTAATGTCCTAAGTAAACATTCAGGAGCAAAACGCCTACAGGTTTTCAACAGCATACTATCACAACCAGCTTACTATGGCACAAACTATCGCGTCATCGGAAAACAGGTTCCTTGTGGATTTAACTACCCCTACAGATACCAGCATCGGGCACACTTGAAGCAGTCAGATAAATTAGGAGACGATAGTAGATATGCTACTTGTGCCGACTGCGAGCGATGTCCTGCAATGTCACGTGGACTCCAGCCTGGAAGGTCAGACAGATCAAGAGAACCCACGTTAAAGTCCAGTTTCGTTGTCACTGTGCGAGTGATGCACCAATTAACCAATCAAAACGCAGTGGAGTAGGCATTTTTGATTCTGACAAACTGAAAACTGGTTGGATAATAGAAGCTTTAGTAACATGGCAAGAAGAATATTTCATCTAGAATTGGGCACATGTCTTACCGACGGCGTGCTTAACATACATGCTTCACGTGACTGAACTGAGGTGTTACTCATAACTAAGATGAATATGGATAAGCAAGACTGAACATACGTTTCAACGCTCGTCATTTTCGCATTGTCTTGATACGCTAATATGTCGAAACACTTGTTATTTGGCTTCAAGTTAAGAAACACTATTTCATATATATTTCACAATACTAGAAGCAGCGGCATGACCAGCTTTATGGTTGCTTACAATTGCTTTTCACATGCTTGTTTTCCTCAACTATACAATAGATCTTCATAATTCACATCCCCTCTTTGGGTGGGCTCAACGTCCAGCTGTTTGCTGGCACATTGCAACTATAACATCTACTCTCGCAACCATTGGCTTCTCACGAAACAAACTGTCCCTCGTTCTTGCGAGACTGCTTACGTAGAAGAGTTTAACACTACCACCTAGTGCAATGTCACGAACATGAATGATCTGTTTATTTTTTAATGAGCGGTTTATAAAATGTTTTTTGAAACGCAACCACCCGGTGTACAATAGTGCACATAATTTGGTCAGACCGAATCTTTATTCCAAGACCTTCACAGCATCAAAGATCCTGATTATATTGGGAGGTCTGTTTGCGAAATATATTAGTCTGGGTGAGAGGGTACAAACAGCTTCACACTTCCTCGTTCGCATAAATCGTACACGATCTTATTGCGTTGTGGTACACTTCATATGTAAAAGGGTTCGAAAACTGGAATAATTATGAGAGAAGAGCAACGAGGTTGAAGGTTACGAAGATTAAATCAAGATATTTAATCTTTCTCGTGTGATGGAACATGCACTGCGACCATTCTAAAAGGGTGGGACTGGTAGTGTGGCTTATTACTGGAAATTGGTAGTCGTTTATTGAGACACACTGAAACAAATTCTGCATAAAGCAAAACACTTTGGCATCGTTATCCACATAAAATCAGTATGTTTTCTAAACGCTGACAGTGTTTAGTTGATGACCTAATTTTGGAAAACTGGTGTCCAGTAAGGGTGATCAAATTCTCAACAAGCAATCTAACGTGGATAATTAGTCGCGCTCTATACAAAACGGTCATATAAGCACATTAGCACCAATCTTCTGCAGTGTCTCAGCGTCTTTCTTCATGACACACTGTGTTAAGAATACAACGCGGTGCAGGCGTGCAATGTATTAAAGAAAACATGTGACTCGCAAGAGTAAGGTCGTGGGTTCGAATCCGGCAGGATTCGGCGGGTGCGTGCTACCGACGAGTCCCAATAGGACGAAACGGCCGTCTAGCGCTTTCCTGGATGTGTGGTGGCTGTCTGTCTGTGTCTAACTGCGACGAATCTACACAAAAATCTCAGACCTATTTGTGCACTTTCGTCCTGGTACCTCTTCGACTCTCCATTCTGCTGCGCCCTTTCTTTCACAACGTATCTGTGGGGGTAGGTTTGCCCACTACGAGTCATTCGTCCACGACGATCCATGATTTCTCCGATTTCCTTGCGTCTCCTAGTTTCCGCACATAAACGTTGCTATTCGTGTATCACGATTACGGCTCGGTATCCAGCATTCTCACGACGGAAGTTAAACTCGTTACCAAGGAGACGCAAAAGGATGAAACGGCGGCGGTCCACACCAATTCCGGGTGTAGAGTTGTAGCCAAGCTTGAATGTGTCGTTGCCACTTATCTACTGGAACACTGTTTGCGCTCTATGACGTCCAGTTCATGAGAAACACATAGTCGCTGTCTGATTGTTTCGATTCTCCGGTCATTCCTCCATTTTTGTTACCAGCGTCCTACATCGTCAAACAAGTCAAAAGCCCATGAGACTGCCTTTTACATTACTATAAAAATTTTCATAATTTTCGACAGTCCATTTGCACCGCTTCGGTGAAAATTGGTCCCACAGGACAAGCCTATTTCGGTACCCTGCAAACCCGAAATCATCTAGGCTGAACACTTTAGGTAAGCATTCAGTTGACATGCAGACAGTCCTCTCACCACCACAACATAGAGCTGCCCAAGTAGTGCTGAATCCTCAAACTTTCCAAGTGCGATCGCACGTGGAATGCACTATGCAAGTATGGCAGCCGTGGCAGAAACAAGACTTCACCGTCCTCGAAATTCCTAAACGAAAGGCATCCATGAACGTTGGGAGCTTCTTTCATCTACCCTATCAGCTTTGACTAAAGTCTCTAAATTTTACAGCAGTCGATTTCAGTTTTTGCAGGGGGATCTGATTATCGTTTGCCAGACTCTGAAGGACCCAAACCACATTTGCCGCCCGATAATGGAACCGAACCACAAGTCTAACCTAAAAGGTCGCCCACGGAATCTGACAATACAGTATAGCTGGCTGGAATGCCGTCGAAATTTCTTTTTCCACCGGGTGTGTCAGCTGTGGGACATTATCCCAAACTGTATTATCTCTCCCCCAAATTTTTGATAATAATAACGTCTTGGTGCGTTGTCCCATTCGCATTGCATTTTTAACTTGTGTTAGCCAGGTGGCTACAAAATGTAACCAAACGATGTGTTTCCAAAGTTCTAACTAGCTGGCTTTATACATATTATCATGTGAATATCTCGTCCCTTTTATGCATGGTTCAATGTAAAGATCATGGTAAATCTGACAAAAATTTGCCAGTTTATTATGAACATTTTTGCTCAATAACTCATCACACGGAACTTGTTGAGCATTGATTTTTTGCGAATAATACACCACTGTTCCATTATACAACAATGTTCCACGTTTCTTCTGATTACCTTAGTTGTCTGTTATGCTGAAGCTAGAATATCATTAGCCTGATAGAACGGCTTTCACTTCCAGTGATGCAAAGATTTTCACCTATTCTTATCTTCTTCCCCCACATTATTCGAACCTAATCCCTAGGCCACTTGATGATTACAGTGAGTTGTATATCGAACTAACTAAACGATCCCACAATATGACCTCTCTTCCGTTGCAGAGTCCAAAACAATTTCCGCTTTGCTATGAACAAATTCAAGGAGATGGACAAAGCAAATAATCCCCAAGGCGCCAAACCAAAGTAAGCAGATTAGCTTAGTCTTCCGTCGTCAATTGCGTTCTTAGACACAAATTGCGGGGCACCGAGCGCGAATTCAATGTCGTACGTTTGTCTGTGGTTATTTATAGAGTAAATACAGTGTTTCGATGTTGTCCGTTCACTGGCTAGTACTAGTTAACTGGCCTGTAACATCAAGTACATCCTAGTGGTTTGTGCTGGTTCTGCATACGGGCGATCCACAGAGTTCGTCGTCACACTGGCTCGCTGTTGCCATCACTGGTAGACTGCATGGTGGCGTCTGCTTGTCCGTCCGCTCATTTAGTCAATAATACTACGATTGAATATTTGATGCATATGTCATGATCTCAGGCATATGCCATCTACTCGTCGTACAGCCAACCAATCCGCCTAGAAGCCTTCCGAAAAAGTGCCGTTTATCCACAGAGCTGGGCCGGGTTCGTTCCGCGTGATTAGCTCTTACGAGCAGCCTCTGATATTTTTCATTTGACCATTTACCAGAACTGCGCGTCTCGCTACAATGGTATCGGGCGTATGCCCTCCATTCAATGTACGGCCAACCAATCAGCTTTGCTGCATTCAACAGGTGGGTATTTTAGCTAAAACATTATACACATATGAGCGCATTGTATCAAGCTTTTGGCGTGGCACCTTTTCGAAATTGCATGCAGTGCTTTCAAGTTAGCAAGTCTAAGAACGCTGTTTTGGTGTCGTTGACACTCTTATTGGCCATGGGACGTTAGCCAATGGGACACCGGTTGGAAGACCCTAGCGTAAGCGACAGAGAGTTCAATGAAAGTGGTCGAACACCATCTTCTGTTCTATTTTGATGCCTATCTGAAGGAAACCTCGATGATTGGTCTCCAAACGGAAACCGTCCAATGGGCAACTTGTGACGCCCCTCTAAGGAGGAGATCCAACTACCACATGATCCGAAGCTTACTACATAACCATTGCGGACAGACATGCTAACCAGCACATGAAGCAGTCTATAGTGATGGCTAGCGGCTACATAGTGGTGGTTATTCAGCGACCTAACCATGGTGGCGTAGACAGGCAATCGTCTAACTGGCATAACGCAGTTCAGCAATGGCTGATAGGCGATTATACAATTTTAGGCGATTGTTATTGCGATGATCATGGGGGATATTGTTCCCATCGAAGTTGGTAGACCAACCTGAATCTGAACAACGAAAGTTCTATGTTTGCTTACTTCTACCACAGTTGATGACTAAACACAAACTAAGATGATCCCGAGTGTGGCGTTGACACGACGTTAGTGAGTGTTCCTTTGTCCCCACACCCATGGGCGACTTTGTTAATCAGTTATGGCTCCATTGTCTCCATGTATGGCTTTATATAAAGGTCATAGGAACCTATGTATTCTTAGGATAATTAGACTTCACTTCCATATGATCGCCCATACGTGTTGAGACGCTTTAACAAGTGGCTCTCCAAATGGAACCATTATAAGCACAGTCAATGCAGATGGAACCTCCCTATTACGTCAATGGACTGGCATGCTCTCCTCAAGGAATCGGCATTACTCAACAAAGTAACACTTAAAGGGGCCACAATGACTACGGTGTTTATACCTGCCACATCGTCCTGCTAGAAAAAACGCAAGACTTATGATTAGTGGCGACGCAGGCATGTTACTCTGGTACTTCAGGTGAGTACTTGGAACAGATAAACACTGTTGTCTCACCCACGGGCGTTCCTACAATGTGTTTGCAATCATTTACAAAGGCAACCGCGCCCACTAATCCTGCTATGGACCACTGTCTCAGTTAGTCTTAGAAACAGTCATGTGTGCACGCCGTGACACAGGTGGTTATCGACTTGGCAACTACTGGGAAACATTTTGTCATTGGAAAGTAGATAATTCCGGAGGCATTGTTGAAGGGGAATATTGCTCCAAACCCTATGCATAAAATGCGTATGCAATGCTCGTTGGCAGATCATATGAGGGCCGTAGGGTCACTTGGTATTTCAAGTTTATCAGTTACTTGGAAGTGAAGTGTAAATATCATGTTGAAACGCAGGACTGACATGCATCTACGACCTTAACATAACAGCAGGTCCACGGGTCCTGAAGCGGTAACTGATTACCGAAGTGGCCTACGGGTGTGGAGACGAACTAACACTCACTAATATCGTGTCACCGCCACACTAGGAACCCTCCTCTTTAGAACAATGGCTACAGATCCACGGATGGTCTTACCTACCCAGCGAACTTGACCTTAGTATACAATGGGCCGACTACATCAGCAGTACGTAGCTGCGCTATTCACATGAGTGTAAAGCCAACTGAAACAACACAGAACAAGAAGCTTGTAGCTGAAAAGGTTTTAAAAATTCTATTGACGAAGAAATTCTAGCTTTACCTGCTTCATACGAATTCCTGCATTGTTTCTGATTACCTTACACTACCTTAACAATCACACGCATATCCTAAGCGGAATCGCACACCTATCGATTCCCCAGATTGCTCACAGTGGCACGATTGCACTACGCATACCGTATCACGTTTGATCAGATAGGAAAGCGAGCAAGGAACACAACCGTGCAGTCAACCCGTAAGCCTTCAATCTTCCCTTCCAACAGCCTGCCAGGGTTGCAGCCTCAACAAAAACTACCAATCCGCTTCTTATTACCACTCACTTAGATCTCTGCACGCTCGCGTGGTAGTGAAACCTTACGCCAGATTGGCAGCATGGCCAAGCACGTATTATGTCTCCCATTGTCTGATCACCCTCAACAACACAACAAAACCGCTGGTGAACCAGTACTGTCGATCGCTTCCGTTGGAAGTTTACCCGTTCCTTCGCACTTGTAGCCGAGTAAAATTCTCGTGTGCTCTGTATCACATTGGTAAGTAGGTACCCAAGTGTGAAGGAATTCATCCAAGACTTAAATGAAGAAAGCACTTGGCCGACACACTTCTAGTCGCCCAAAAATCAATAGGAGATTTTGCCTTATATAATGGTCAAAGGCAGTCGAAAAGCAGATATAGAGAAGACACGTGTGCACAAAAACGGTGTAGATTGTTAAACTCGGAGCCGTGGTAAGGGGCTCACCATTAATGTAGTGACTTCAATGATTAACACCGTCCTGTACAAACTATTCTGTGCTATCTCTTCGTTTGTGTGTTAACCTTGTTGGTATAGACGTGGCTGTTGACGATGGTCTTTCAGTCTCACACCTACCGATTTCAGGACCACTGTTTACAACCTCGAAAGGATTGGATGATGTGCATTGCCCCCTTTCGTCCTGGATGTCCCCGATTTGCGATGGCTAGGCGGTTAAATTTAAATGCCAAAAACCTGCTTGAAACACTAAACTCTTGCCTGTTTTCCTCCCAACTGCAGAGTTGTCGTGAACGCCCTCTGTCATAACACTGGCCTGTTTTTGCTCACTGTCCGGTGCCGCTTCCTCTCCAGGCGAGGAAAATCAGAACAGACAACTTGGCTGACCACAGAGGATGTATTAGGATCATTTAGAGCTATATTTATAGATCAAACACGCCCTCATACCGACATTTTGGCCAATAACTTCCACCCCGTGATAGTTTGATGTCAGTAAGATTTTTCCACATGTCGCGGATAAGCTATTATGACTAGGCTTACACAGCGCCCAAGCGTATGACTGGGTTTTCGGTACGTCCCCCCACTGCAAAACTTCCTTACATGTAGCGGCTCAGCAAACTTGGCATGGCTCACACAACGTCCTCGCATAGGACCGGGTATTCGGTTCGACCACCAAAGCCGGCGAGACTTCATTGCGTCCATCGACTTGTTCGTAGGCCCTGTTTGGCGTCGTGAATGTACATCTCAGCATAAGGCCGTTTGGCTTCTCCAACACCTCTTCCTCCTCCGCATTGATAGCATCTCCTTATTTTCCATAGTTGCTTTTGATCGTAACTTGTGACTCTTAGGTTACCTTGTAGCCATCTCTGTTGCTTACGTCTCCGGGTTGGCCTGTCTGATTTAGCTTGTGGTGCCTGTGCAATCCTTTGAGTTCCACTTGGGTGGTTGTTGCTATCCTCCATACCAAATGTATCCAGCAACATATCACTTTGCATTGCTGCCGGTTCTTGAGGTCTCTGAAAGCTTCCATTTCGCGGTCACAGATGATTGACGTGCCTGATCCACTTTGCATTTCCCAGTATTATCTCATACATAACTTTGTCCCTCTTACCAATAACCGTTCCGCTCCACCATCTTCCCGGACTTCGGAAGTTTCATGTGTGTTGTGGCTGCAACAAGGCTTGCAATTGTTCAAAACTGACAGACAGCTTTAGCTTCGTCTGGATTTTTCGTTGCCATTGTCGTAAACACTCTCTGTCGTAACCCTAACCAGCCTTTACTCACTGTCCCGTGCAGCTTTCACCCAAGTCAGGGAAAATCAAAAGAGAAAACTTGCCTTAGCAGAGCGCATTTTTTAGAATCGTTTAGGGCTACATTTATAGATCAAACATACGCCCTTATACTGACAGTTTGGCCGTAAAGTTCTGTCCGTGGTATCTACGTTAAAGAGTAAGAAAACTGGATAATCTATCTTCCACCAGGTCATCTGGCGACAAAAGTTGGTGAAAAATCTAATGAGACCCGTAGTTGGTCATCCTGATTTTAAAATGAGAGACAAAGCATGCATCAGAGTGAATAAATCCGTGCGTCGTCTCCGTTAGGTTGCCGATTATACAGATCTCTTTTTTCAGCTCTAGTTCGAGTGTTGAGGTCTAACTTTTTCCACCCTCCTATGAGAAATAGTATGCTGGATTGTGTTACGCATGGCGTATGCGCGCCTAGTCTACGCTTCAATAGTGGACGGAGCACGCTACTTTTTAGAAGTAGCCCGTATTTGAGAGTGAAAGGTGCCAATTGCTCAGTTTACGAAAATTTACAAATCTCTCGAAGGGTTCGGCACACGAGAATTTGTATCCATCGCGTCAACAAATAGCAGAGGGCGTATGCAACATGCGAACCGTACTTGAGGTCACTAATGGATACGTTGGGCTGAGTAGCATGACTTCGCATGAAAAACCTTGCAATACTTACGACATGGAATGCCTCCTTAACAAGTCTGGCACATGATCTACATAGGTCTTTAGACTGTGGCACTGGACGTCGTGCTTGTTGAGCAACTGTTACAAATCATTGGAATGGCTCACTCTGGATGGTAAGCAATTGTTCTGTTTCTGTCGGTGTCGCCAACTTCAAAGCGTTCACTTCGCAGCTGTGGGCTTGCAGACTGTCCTCTCTGGCCTGCCAGTCGAATGTGTCAGCGTGAACGTGGTTCAGGTTACACGAGTGTTTGACAACGCATTTTCGTGTCTAGGCCTATGAATCACCCCAGCTGAACCAGCCGTGCGACTTGTAGCTGCTCCAGGTAATGTTAAATTTTAACGATTGAGAGTTCGTTGGAAAGACATTGAAATATTCTATCGAGTGAGACCAAACAATCTATCTGACGGTTGGCGTTACGCAAGTTTTGGCGCTTAGATATCAGCGAAACACTGCTCGGAATTTAGATGAATGTGGTAAGCACTGGAGTGTATTCGAGAAGATAGTAGCAAGAGACAGAGCGTGTAAAAGCACGACGAATAAGTATAGATCCAAAGTTGTGCGACAAAATGTCGCAGAGCGCAGTAGCGAACAAAGTACGAGTGCACAAACGCGCGATTAGCATGGAATTTCGTTCAAAATCAAGTTCAAATTGCGGGCATTTTCTACCTGTTTCTTCACGTTTGCCTTGTAGGCAGCAGTCCGCTTCTCAAGGAAACTCCCTGGTGACATGGCAGCTTTAAGGGGGTTTGTATGATTTATGTTCACACTCGGTGATATTTGAAGCGGAAAGCAAATTTGCGTTCATTTGTCCTGGTGCATTGGTTAATAGTTATCTCGATTCCGGGTTGCACTGGTACTAGCCAACCTATATTCAAGCATCCTTTACGCTTGCGCCATAATGATGTACCAGATTGGAATTCTCCTGATGGGTAAAATGAGAAGCGGAGTACCTGTCCCCTCGACTACTGATTTCAATGGGCTGTCTCTGCTTGCATGGAATCAGCTCTCGTGGCCTCACTATGATCAGAGCAGTATTCCATTGGAAGATATTGTTCTTCCCGGCGATGACTCTCAAGCACATGCTACCCTATAGCTCATTATTTGTGATCTTTGCTTTGTATGAAACTTGTGAGTTGCACTGTAGGCCATGTAATTAAGCCGCTTATTACATTTCCGTGAGCATACATGTCCCTTAACAGCCACATGAAGATGTGGAGATGGCTATCCACACTAACAGCTTTAACATTACTATCAATACTACTACCACTGCCACTGTCGATAATACGGGCATGAGTGTACCTCAGACTGTTTTGTTTACAGGTGTCTCACTATCAAATTGGCCACCTCAAAGTGTGTAGATTTGAGTGAACTTACACAATGATGCTGCCTGGTATGCCAACGAAGCATTTTCGTGCAAACCACGCAGCTCATAAAGTAACCCAAAATCCACAACAATGATATTGGCTTAGCGAATGTATATTCCCAATCCCTTCCCGATTAGACTCCGTGGTTCTTTGACTGCCAGCATGTCTAATTTCGCCTAAGTACCATTAGAAAAGTAACCTTTTGTGCTAATAGCCAGGATGTTCTCTCGCTAGTGTGACAATCTTAAACACTGGCTTATTTTTACCTCGTTTGAGTTCACCAACCAATTCCATTATACGAAGCTGTAATAGGTTGTGTGCCAGAAAGGATGTAGAAACTATATTGGTTCACTTCATATTTACGCGTGTGGTACCGTACTAAAGTGTCACTTGTCGCTCTGGAAACACTCGGTATTTCGAACAAAGAGCATTTGATTCTGAACCATCGATAGATTGGACACGCTATGCTCCATAGAATAGTGGATCATTTTTAATTAAGTTCACTTCCTCCTATACTGGTTTTGGTATCCTCAAAAGATAAGGCGAAACGTTTAGGTCCCTAGTTGAACCCCCCCCTAATTAACATAAATGATGGGAACTTACAAAATGACATAAAAATACTTGTTAAGCCTGCAATGCGTTAGAAAATTACATTACTCGGGTAAACCCATTTATTGTGAGAGACTGAAAGAACAAACAAAGGTTTCCTTCAGCGACTCTGTTGTGTTAATTTGTTCTTGGTGCGACTGAAAATTGCTCCGCGGACTCAGGAGCACACAAAGAACGAAAACCAGGGCGTTGAAAATTGCTGGTTGACAGGCGAGCCTCGTAGTTAAGATGCATCCATTGATGTGTCGTAAAACTCCTTCATCAAGGGATTATTGATCATGGCTTAACAAGTGCTTGCTTGGCCATTTGAAATCAGAGCAGACTAATTCAATTGGCAAATATCATTGTGAATTTTGTGGTCTCTCGTTTGCGAATAAAAAAATGGAGATTCCGTTCATAATTTGTGGCAAACGGGATGCACCTATTTCTTTATCCTTTAGCGTACAATCATAACAACAATGTACTACAGCTGCAGGTGGTTTCACCGGCAAGAATACTCATGCTTCGTACCGGTTATCCTAATCATCCTACTGAGTTATTTCATGTCAAGTAGAAGGCCCATTCGTTGTGAAAAATGTAGCCTTAAGCTTAAGGCTAGCGGTCTATCTACCGCTGGCCAGCCATACAGATTCCTCCGGGGTACAACTCAGGGTGGAATGTTAACGAAATTCTGCAACTCTCCAACACTCGCTAATCCCTCAAAATGGCTTCTAATGTCTATAGACGATAGGCGGCTTCGTATGGGAAGTCGTAACTCTGGAGGTCAGCCTGGTTCTCCGTACAACTGACCTGCATGACCGTGGAGGACAAGTCGTGTTATGTCAAGCTAGTGGTTAACCAGAACGACCCGTCATCATTAACGACGGCTGGGTACCTTGAGCCGCTGCCTCTTCTAATCCTGCGGGGTCATGAGCGAGACATAGTCGTCCGACGCTTCAACGGATGTTTGCTGGCTGTCTGAAATTGACCACAATGTAGCTTCGCACTGCTCCTTAATATCATATTCTACCTGAGATGCAGCTGTCCTACCGGGACTGATCCAACTACATTTCCTTAATGAAGTATCTTTGGGTTCTCGAATGTATTTCGTTGATATATTAGAAAGGATCTATAGTTGGAGACCGTCGTAAGAAAGCAAACTAGTGGACAATGATAGCTAACGGCTAGTCGTTTCTTAAAGTAAATATCAGTTTGGGTACTGAAGTACGTCAGCTAAATGCTTGACATCTCTGTCCCATCTGTGGCATTCTGTTCTGTGGTTACGGCCTAAACAGCTGAACGATAAATTTCCAGCATTTCACTGAATTCTCCATACGTCAAGGACGCGCCATATCTTGCCTATAATGTCATTACATTTTACCTATTTTCTGAAATACTGCATGTCAAAAATTCATTGTTACAATAATGACATGCCAAAATATGAAATGGTAGATTTTTGATATGATCCACCACAGTAAGCTGAGTCGCTCCAGTAGACTTACTAATTAATTGACAAAAGAATATTAGTGGTTTTGTGAGTATGTAATTTTTGTAGAAAGTAGAAGCCACGATTAAACTGCACAATAATCTGCCTCGATGGGGAATCGAACCCCGGACATACGGATTACCGGTCCGCTGCTCTACCAACTGAGTTACCTCCTCCTCGGTAGCTCAGTGGTAGAGCAGCGGACCGGTAATCCGTAGGCCCGGGGTTCGACTCCTCATCGAGGCACATTATTGTGCAGGTTAATCGTGGCTTCTACTTTCTACAATAACTATGTAACTGTTATGTTGCAAAGGTGAGTACCGGATTTTGGCCGTACAAAATAGTCTTCATTTGGCTTCCTTTATGAAACACTGAACGTTGATTTCCTCTTTTAACAGGAGACACAGATTAATAAACCTGAAAGTAACGTTGCTTTGAAGTACTATTCGTCTGTAAAAGTTATGCCATAGCATCGCTGCTTTTCAGTCATCAGACGGTAATGGCCGTTAATGGGTAATGCTTGGTTTACCAAAAAGGTTCTTCTTGGCTTTGAAAAGTCAAGAAATTGGTTTTCTTTGACAGGATTAGAATGCTAAACTCTATGACGCAGCGACGGTAGTATTGTTGGTGTGCTCTGTGTTAAATCATCGGTTGGGCTTAAATCTGCCAGTGAAGAGAAGTGAGTTTACAGAATAATGTGTTGAGTGGCTGTGTACAGTTTTGTTCTCTTGCAAATTTGTCCACCACAACTCGTTTTACACTCCTTTCGGTTGCAACGGAATGAACCTCATGTCGCCGGATAACAACACGGTTTCAAACTGGTCCACAAATTACAGCTTCAGAATTATCTAAGCTCACGTATGATTTGCATTATACTAAATCGCACTAACACTGCCTTTGCTATTGTGTCTATACAACAGTAGTTCGGAAGAACCCTAGAGCTCCTAGAATTTGAGTTAAGCACTTGTATTCACAATAGTCTCTGGGTTCTATTTCATTAAATAGCATTTCGCTAATGCAATTCTTCGGCAGCTATTCAATTATCCATATTTCCTTTATCTTTCTAATCGGCCACTTTTCTGCTATGGCATTAGCCTCCCTAAACTACTTGTCCACTGTAAGTACTATTGAGTGCGCGTTGATGCCCTGAAATGCTGTTCACATCTCGATACCTATGCTTAGAGGTACTTTTTTATCCAGTGAATTTGTGCCTACCATGTTTCTAATAAATTCGCATTCGTCGCCTTCTTCACTCCGATTGATGCGTACAACCAATATACTACTGACAATGAGCTATCATTATTATTCCCCTTCCAGCTTTGCCACCGGAGGGAGCAGAACAGGTCAAGCAAGCGCGAAAGAGGCCATCCTGAATTGGTGCAAAGTAGTTACCAAAGGATATGAGGTGCGTGTTGTGTGTGTGTGTGTGTGTGGAATTATTGCGCCAGCTTTTATGTCCATCTCACTAAGTAGCCATGGGGAGTATTCTTGGTGAATTGCAATCTTAGTACCGTGTTTAGCGATTGCAGTTGCTAAGGTTACTCAACCGTTTGCATGTAATCCCTGGAAGACAACTGTTTGACAATCCGTACTGTCCAGCACGAAGATCCCTAAAGGGTGGGTGAGAACCAACGCTAGTTCGGAACCCACCCAAACTCTAGTTGTAATGCGATAATTTACGGAATTTATTATTGCATTTTATAGCTAGTTGACACAGCCGCGCAACTTTGTTTAGCCTCTTCCTGTATAAATGACGGTTTGCTTGCAATATGCTGGGGAATTATCTTGTTTACCCAACTTTTTCATGAGAACTTCTATCCAAAATCACTGCTCCGTGGTACCCTCCGACGATCGGTATTAGGTCCTGAGATCTTTTGGTTAACCTGTCGACCCACGCGGTGCAACGTTTGGATATTCTGCGCAACTGCTCTTTACGCTGCATCGGTCTCACCTTTTAAGAGGACGGAACTCGCGAAAGACAAACCTACTGTCTCTAGCTTAACACAATGAATGACTGAAATGGCATTTGTTTACTGATAGTAGAATGATAAAGTCAAAATGCGAACAACGGCGCTAATGAAATTGATGACCGTATCACATTGGTCCGGGTAGAAAATATTATCCACACTTGTTATCAACACTTGTTTTGTGGTGAATTTGACGTAACTTCCGAGTGAACAGATTGCGGTCAGAAATTTCTATGCTTCAGATAATCCCACGTGGAGTCCGTTGCAACTGTGACAAGCACTACCTGCAGCTCCAGTAGCGTAGGATTGAGGCTTTCAATCAGTCATCACTACGTTCCGACCCCGAGTCTTACTCCTGCTGTAGTTACCTGACGACTACACACATACGACTACAAACGTAGTTCTATACTAGAATACGAAGTTTGTGATGGAATGCATGGTTGTTAGAAGTATTGACGACATTGAGCTCATCATTACTCAACGCCTCAATTTCGCTTTTCCGGGATACCCTCTGCAGAATATGATTCCCAAGCGTACACATGACATTTGATGACGGACATAGTACACCGCGCTACGAATAGCTTAGTTAAACAAGACATTCACTTGAAAGTCCAGATCACTAGAGCTTCGCGTGGCTGTCTAGCCAGTCATACGCCGTTTAAATCCTAGCGACCTACAAGAAAAGAAGACAGTTTGTGACGCTCCTACTAGTGTCTGGTTTGGTTTGCTCTGAACTCTTCTTTCTTGCATTGACAGTGCGCTAAGGCAGAACCAGATATGTAACTCCTGGTTGTCGATTGACTCAGTTGACACCCAGCCATTAACCTAGATTGCGGCAATTGATTAAACGGCGAAATATTCAAAAAGAGATGTGAACTGTTCATCGTTTCTTTCGACTGAATCCTACGGAATCATGAAAGGTTGGTTATTTTTTGTTGTTTTCTTTCGCAAACTGCTGAGTAACCCGGGAAACAAGTTGTAAACGCATCAACTGACCACCATCATGACCCTGGAAAAGTTGCAACTACTGACTATATCGGCACGAGGAGTCCAAAGAAGAACCGATGGCGGACTGTGAAGAATGGGCCACGTCGTAACTTTCCTTACACCTTGGCCAGTTCACATAACTATATTAACTATTGCGCTCCGCAGCGAAATACCGGCTCATTGTAACCCACCCAAGCAACGGTAATCTGAATGGCTCGAAAGCTTCCATTATCTGCGTATATAGGGATTTGATGCAGGTTAAATAAATGGCTCAGTTGTGTACACCGCAGCAAATCAAGTGATGTAGATCGTGCTATACTGGACCACAGTCCCAACTCTTATGTATAAGACCTTAGACCTAAACGAATTTGTAGTTATTCTTCAAAGTGAACAACGTTTTCTGCTTTCAGGGTGTGGATATCAAGAATTTTGGAAGCAGTTGGGCAGACGGACTAGCGTTCTGCGCGCTGATACACCACTTTTACCCAGATGCATTTGATTTCGCGACCTTGAAGCCGGAGAATCGTAAAGCCAACTTTCAGCTAGCTTTCGACACTGCCGAGTAAGTGGTATCAATGCAACCACGCGTGCAACTTGAAACATGGATGCGTGCTTGCTGGCTATTGAAATCATAATGTAACAGCAAAAGATGGCCAAGGGTCATATGCTGCTTGTTTTCAGTTAATTTTGGTGCCTCATAACGGTAACTATAGTCATATCTTGGGTGTTTTATGAAAAGTTATAAAGCTATTAGCGTAATCAGATGTTATCATTACTTCCAGGAGATAATACTCATATGGACGTAGTCAGAAAGCAGCAACAATTCCTATATTCGGATGCCAGCAATCTACCCATCTGACTACACATGCAACGGAAAACTATAGCCAGTTATAAGAATCAGTTCACACAGATATAGCAACAGCATGCAGGATAGGAAAAGTGGCCTCCACACTCTCCACTTAAGTAGCGCAACTTCATCGGCAAGATGATTACAATAGTTGGTCACGGAGTTTCGTCCGAGATTCCACTAGTAGGGGGGTTTCAAACTCGCTGTGGTTGTGAGCAGTTCATGCGCTGTGCAACGAAGTCAGTCAAATTTAATTTGCCCAGACAAACAAGCTCTTCAACTGCGAAACGTAATCATAGCAAAGCTCTTCCCACACACACACCTATTATCAAACGTTTTGGCATTGAAAAACAATTGCGAAGGAAGGAAACAGCGGGTCAGTAGAAGCATTTAAAGGGATTAAAGGGGATACTGGAGTGAGTGGCAATGTGAAATTGGGTGGTTGAGTAAGTCCATCACAGATCTGTTGCAAGAATATGATGGTCTCGAATCGAACGTGCGACCTGAACCAACTTGGGCAGGCTGACGGAAAGCTAATCGATCGCCGCCGATGTAAGCGGATGGATAGCATCGAACTAATTTGTACTGAAGCGGAAAAGCTCAAGTCTTGAGCAAGATAAAATTTTCAAAAGAAATAAATGCTTCAAATTGAAACTAGTGATAATGATAGTTTTGTTCTTGAATAACAAGTTTTCACCTAGGTCTACACTTAGTTTTTGATTCGCTGATGGCTATCTAGGGAGGATCCTTCGATTATGTCATCTTGGGAGGTGTTACAACCAGCCTGAGCAATAACGCGATACGCCGCGGTAGGATAGGTTTAGCTACCCAATTAAATCAGCTAGCGAGGAATACTGCAAACATCGTGGATGGGTGGCATATACAGCAATCATTATTTTACTCGAGGAGTGCAGGTTGTGAAAGCAGCATACATAGCAACCCAGTTAGGAATGTCGCTATTGTTCCACAAGATAGTCTTACGGGATAACCATGATAGTTTAAACGTACCGGTTGTCTGCATAGTCCTTCCAGTTAGTTTTTCTCCCTCGTCAATGCGGTTGCGGTCGACTGTACTGGATACGGTCATGGTCATGTTTTACGTCCAAGAAAGTAAGCACCAAGCTGATGTTACACCACGGCATCCGGACACGATGAGTAATAAAAAGATCCAACGGTGAACTCCTAACCGTTGTGATAATTGTTCCATTTGGAGCTTGGCGTTGGAGATGCCAGTCCGTCTGCTAACGTATCCCGACTCCTTGGCTGGCTTTTCTACTCTGGCTTTATCAATTAGAAGAACCCGAAAATGGGCAAAACCTCTGGTGCGCTACAGTTTTCTGCGTCAACAACACCGGTACGCATCTCACAGGACGAGATCCAAGGAATAGACGCGGCCGAGCTCCGCAGAAAATTAAATCTAGGCCAGTACGCAAACTAGGTATATTAACTAAACCACATGACAAGTAATCCGAGAATTGAAAGCGTGAGAACATAGATTGAACTACTATCTGGAACTGCTGACCTCTTGGTTAACAGTTGGTGCCTAAAAACAAGTTTGGTTTTAGCCAGCTTCTCCCACTGTGAACATTCTGATTACTGTTTCTTCCATCACATTTAGTCTACTGCTCCGTATGCATACAGACTTGGTTTCGATGCGCTACGATGGCTATACTTCAGAACACAATTACACTGCAGTCACTATAATTTAGGCGATACAAGTAAACATGTGTGCCGTTTCTAGTAAATTGCTTGTATCCAAAAATTGTTAGACAGTTTTGTACACACTACCATTTGAGCCAAACCGTTTCACCACACTTATGTCATAATGCGTGTACAAAAACCGGAAGGCCTGAACCCCTTTTCTGGAACTTGGGTCAAAACTAAAGCGTGACGGAATGCACAAATTATTTGGCATGTTTCTACTGCGTGACAGTTGACCACGGCGCCATATCTTTCGTAGCTCAGACGGTAGAGAACAACTACCTCACAGCAAAGGATACGGTATGAAAATTTTTGCTATTTTTCCTCACGGCCCACGTGACTTTCACTCAATAATTCTTTGTGTACAGAAACAATTAATAGTCTCCCTAACGCTTCCTTGGGGCTTATGCCCCTAAGGTCAATTTTGTCGATCTGCTATTCTTGCGTCTACATAAGTTCCCTGTGACTAGTTACAAACCCTCGGTTTTTCTCTCACGTGCTTCATATTTAGGTTGTTAGTTTGCGAGTGAGCAGATAACATATGATGTTTCCATCTCGCAATACCAGTCTTCTCATTGTCTTGTTTAGAATCCCAACCAAGGTCGTGTGATCTGCGCCCTAGGATAAATCGATAACGATTGGTCGAACATCAAGCGATGTCTGGGCTTTCTTCAAGACACTGGGCCTAATGGCACGGCTAACCATTCGATATTTTTAACTGCGTTTGTCTGTCGGTCAATTATGTCATCTGCTGATCTTCATGTGACCCTATTCTCCCTACTGAAACACTTCTTTGCAGAAAACTTGGTAATGTCTCACCACTCCTTGAGGTGGACGATATGGTCCGTATGAAGGTTCCGGATTGGAAATGTGTGTTCACTCAGATCCAACTGTACTACAGGCGGTTCCAGCTGGAGGAAGGAAAACAATGTCACCAACCGCCCACTGGTCTCATTCCAAAGGCCAGCCAACCACCCAGCTCAGACAGTTAAACAGCTGATTCGGACCCACTCCTTACTTCTCTTCAGATGCTCCCTAGTCCTTCGCTTACAATCTCTAATTCCCAGAACACTACCTCGTAAGAACAATCGGTGTTCACGAGACATCACAGAAAAAGCACTTCAAGACTGACGTTCAATTATCTTATCCCCCTCTCTACTCGATTCAACTATGACAAAAGTTGTATGCTAGATTACGCATTTGCTAAACCATGGCATTGTAAATAAAATCCCGTTGGTACATCTACCTCAGCTATCTGAAAACATGCTGGCTAACGTTTTTCAATCAATTAACCAATACATACAAGTACCATCTTAATACCACTTTTCATATGGAATTAAGTGTGCATGTTACATGCGCATAATCCTTTGAGATTTCAAACTACTCGATCAACTCAAAAATAGAAGGTATAAGGGTCAGCTAAGAATTCCTTCACAGTTCACTGCCTTACAATACATTGTGTGGCCAATGAATTGCCTGAACTGAGGGAAATCTGTCTACTCGGAATTCGTGTTGCTTGTCAGTTGAGTCCCTTGACATGTTTTCGGTTATGGTGGGTGTCAAAACGCCCGTGAAACATTCAGAATCACTACTTGGGAGAAAATAATTGGACTAAGGCAGGTTAAAATGCGACGTCAACACTGAGTGTAACTGCTAGTTGAACGTCCGAAAAAGATTGTTAAACATTGGTCCTAGAGTATGTTGAAATTGTGTTTGAAATGTGAACAGGAATTTGCTGTACTAAATTTTGTTGATAAAACGAGAAACACGAAAGCTTCTTCTTCTGCACGAAATCCAGTATTTGACCTATACATTTTTTGATTTGAGTGATCGGTTATCAGTCACAAATCCCACACACTCGTAAGCAGTATACATGCTTGTTATACATTGGATTATCATAGACACAATTCTCTCAAGCATAAAAAGGTTCGTTTCACACAAACGGAATTGTCCTCCTGTGTTTGTAATTCCAGACTTAAACTTGGTTGGTGGTATCCGGTTTCGGATTAGCCTGTCACTGTGGCCAGACACAGGATGCCTGCACCTGCAAAGGGACCATGAGTGACATGCGCTGCACCACCCACAGTTCCATCCACACACCCCCATTTCCAGTGTAAAACCGATGCAGTAAGACCGGGGGGCATGTGGATGGGAGCCACGTTTCATCAACAGAGTCGGCTCACACTCCTTCACAGACAAACACAAGCACGCTGTATTTGGGAACCAAGCGCACACAAGGCGGTGGCTGGAACGTAGTCCGCTCCGCACTGGGTGTATGCAACCAGCCTTTGATCATAAACCGGCCACAAGAACCGTGCACTAGTCCTCTCCAGCAACGATCAAGTGTCTCCCGGAGCCAATGTGGACGTGGTAGTGGGTAATAGAGAGGTAGGCATCTTGTCAACATATACATCAAACGCAGCCACACCCGTGATATCAAGAGACAACAGAGGAATTAGGAGAAAGATAACAAACAGAATAAATCGAGTAATGCATAAGGAAACGGTGACAAATCGTAAATTAATAAGCATATGAAGTAAGTTGTTTACAAAACAATCCGAGAAAAGTTCACGAGGTCAGAAAGTATATTTTACGGAAATGCCACAAACAAGAAAATGTTATTGAAATTAAGTACAGTTCGCTAAAGCGAGGTGTGCAAGTTTATAGAACAGAGTGCAGGTAGACATTTATTTGAGAAGGAAAAGCATTAGGACAAAATTGAAAACTCACCACCTGAAATAAATAGACTTAGCATGCAAGCAAGCGGTTGGTAAATAGAATGCATAGTACCTACAGACGTTGCGCCGGTTCTGCCTGCGTAGTCCGCAGGACCCGTCTTCGCTTCTGTAGTGGTCCCGAGTGACCTCTTTCATGGCTCACTAGGCCGGCCTGACTCAGGCACTCGCGACCGCATGCGCCTCAGCACCATGCAGTCGATGTCGATGGAGTACAATCCATCGGTGCTTGTCGCTTCCGCACTTCCGATTCCTCTCCGCATGTATGAGGTCTTTCTCCCGCATTTCCGCAACTGCGTTCGTGATCAGATCGCGCCATGCACGCCGATCAACCGCCTTCGATTCCAAAGACCTGCAATCAAAATTAGAATGTGAGAGGCTCACCATGATCATATTCTGGTAACGCAACCTTGGTTTTCCCACATGACGCTTCCCAATATTCAGCTGACCATATAAGCGTTGTTTTGGTATTTGCGTCAAATCCATACGGCTCACATGACCGAGTCTCCTCAGATGTCTCAGCAAAACTATGCAGTCCAATGCATACATTCCACTTCGGCGCAAAACTTCCGTGTCAGCAACTCTGTCGCCCCAACCGATGCGCAAAATTCGTCGCAAACACTGCTGATGGAACCGCTCGAGATATCGCACATCCCGATGGTACATCGTCCACGTTCCACTGCCGTATAGAAGAACGGACAGTACCATGGATTTGTACACCATCAGCTTCGTGCCAATGGTAAGCTGATGGTTGTTCCACACTCGGCATTCAAGCTTTTCGGATGCCTCAGCTGCCTTCGACACGCGGACAAGCAGCTCACTGTGTATCTGCTGATCAGTCGACATCACACTCCCAAGGTAGCTGAAGCGGGAGGTGTTTTCCAATACTTCAGCACCAACGCTGATTCGCGGCAATATTGAAGATTGCACCTCCCGTGAAGGCTGAGAAAGACAGACAGTGTTGCTTGTGTTGATGGTGAGCCCGAATTTGGTCGCTGTCGAAGCCAGAGCACTAGTCATGTGCTGCAACTCATCCGCGCTGTGTGAGAACAACGCACAGTCGTCAGCAAACAGCAACATACGGATAGTTGTCTCACAGACTAGAGTTCTCGCACCGAAACAACGGATGTTCAGCAACCCACCATCAATACGGTGCTCCACACGAACACCGTAAGCACAAGCCGCATCAAAAGCACAAGACAACATTGCATGAAGATATATATTAAACAGGGCAGGAGCTCAGACACAGCCTTGCTTCACACCAGAGACAATTGCAAAGTCATCCGAGGTCTCGCCACTCAGCTGCATCCTTGCTAGTATACCACTGTGCAGATATTCAGTTAAACCTACAAAACCTACGCGAGCAACCAAACTTACCCAACATTAGCCACAATGCCTCGCGGTTCACCGTATCAAATGCTTTGATGAAATCAACAAAAAGCGAGTACAAAGGCTGGTGTCGTTCTCTGCACTTCTCCTGCAACTGCCGATCCGCAAACACCATATCTATAGTGCTGCGACCCGAGCCGAATCCACACTGCTCTTCCGCCACGTTAGGTTCCACAACCTGACTGACGTTTCGGTTGAGCAAGATTCGGGCAATCACCTTGCCCACATAAACTCAGCAAGTTGATGCCACGATAATTCGCGCAACATTGCTCGCTACCTTTGCCCTTGTACAGTGGTAGCACATAGGCATCCTTCAGCTCAGGAGGCACCTCCTCCTCAATTCATACGCGTTGCATCAAGTGGTGCAGAGTAGTCAACAACGCGGGTCCGCCGTGTTTCAGTACTCCAGGCTTGAACTTGAGTAGCCTTACTAAACACATACTGAACCATATCGATGAAAATAGCTTCCAACAGAAGGGACAACCCCTTTTTCCACTGCATACCATGAAACGCACTACAATCATACTGAATGAATCCGCTGAACTTCCAACCGGTATAAATCTACCTGTTTAGTTTTAGTTTCTCTAGGCCACTTCGCTTAACGCTACTTTGAACTTTATTTTCGAAACCGAAAAGTTGGATAAGCAGGTATTTGTGAACATTACTGAGGAGTAGTGAAGACCTTTGTGTAATTTTAGCTGTATTTCGTCGCAGTCCTCTCTTAGTCACGCAGGTTTCCATACAATCTCCTGGGTCTCGCCACTGGTGCGCGTTCCTCGGTCCCCTACCGGATTCCCAACCGGTGACTTTCGGTTACCTACAGCTTGTGCCACCAAGCCATAGGTGATGGCCGCGAAACTGCATGACTGACAGTTGTCTACAATGTAGCGTGACTCATCCTCCACTTCCATGCCAATTATAAATTGTGCAGCGAAACTGCTTGGCCCCAAAGCTACGACCTTCCACATAGCGACAGGGCTTAGAAGCTTTATTGACCGATGTTTGGTTACTTTTCGATAGTGAGGCTTTTGGGGTAATTTTAAGTGTACTTAGCCACAGTCGTCTCAGCAACTGAAAATTCGTCCATTTAGCTGACTGGGCTTGTCAGTTGGTTGTACTCGCTCTGGTGTCATCAAGTACGAATGAAGAGCACTGCTTCCAATGGAAGAAAACTGTATTCCTAGCACAAGGAGAAACACGAACTCGAAGTGTGGTACTCTGCGTAGCATTCCATAAAAGTGTGTAACGGCACTGATCCAACTTACCAAACGTTCAAACGGAAAGAATCCTGATGACCTGAAAACCGTCACTGGTAGCCAAACAAACCGTTAATAAAAGAATAGGGACAACCGCAGCGGACCCATGTCACAGAAAGTTCCTGTCTACCAGAGACCTTGAGCAATCACGTATAGGTCTTAAGGCACAAATCGCTGGGGAATAACTCGAAAGTCACGGGCTTATCTATCACAGATCAACGATCAAATCCGTAAGGCTGCAATCAATGCAAGCATGCATTGAATAAGTTAACTCGTTTTGTGCTTAAACGTTCGCAACCCAATTATGAAGCTCGGCGAGCACATGAAGACTGGTGTTTTGTTATTACTCAGCCGATTAACCCAGCATTCTGTGACTGGTTGCTTTATTCTTTTCTTTAACGGAAGAAATTTGGGGTACAGATTTGTTATAAACATCCTAGTTCGTTCGACTCACCTAGTCGGAAAGGACGAAAGACTTTGCACCGATAAGAATCAACGCACAGAGTAGTCTGTTGAATTTGTGTCGGTATGACCTAGGTGCCCTAGCCTCCAGTCGTTACACGGGCGAGCTGAGGCTGGAGAATAAATTCGTAGCTTTACGTGGTGGTTCCGAGAACGAGAAACGTTTGGCCAATAGCTAACAGTAATTCGTGCACTGCTTCAATCAAGGACAAATTCATGTTAATAGTGGAATAGCGTAGCAACGTAATACATAAACTGTAGATGAAGGTGGGTGTTGACAGGGCATATCAGTATCCAAGCTGTAAAGTGTCCAGAGGAAATCCGATAAACTGCCATAATACTCATTCATAACTCGTAATTATTTTAACAGCTTACGTGCCACTTCAAATGATGGCGCCTTGCAAAGGATGTCGTTGCTCTGTGGGCTTGCCTCGTACACTGAACTAACATAACATGCTTGACAGTGGAAAATGAG